GGAGAGTGACTATAAATTCACTGCTGCTCAAATGATGGAGGCCCATTTAAAGTCCATAACATAACACAAAACCATTGAATTGGGAAGTAACTCTCTCAAAATAACATGAAAAAAAATGAATCATTCATGTTTTATACTTCTAAAAAAATCTCAGCAATAAGTTAAAAAAGATAACAGATATCAGTTATATGACAATGAATGATAGTTAAAATATATATATAAACAAACATAGATTTTTTTTTTTTTTGAAAGACAGAATCTCACTCTGTCACACAGGCTGAAGTACAATGATCATAGCTCATTGTAACCTCAAACTTCCAGGTTCAGGTGATCCTCCTGCCTCAGCCTCCCTAGTAGTTGAGAATACAAGTGCATACTAGTATGCTCAGCTAATTTTTTTATTTTTATTGTTTTGTAAAGATAGGGTCTCACAGACTGGTATAGAACTCTCGGCCTCAAGTGATCGTCCTACCTGAGCCTCCCAAAGTGTTGGAATTACAAATGTGAGCCACTGCACACAGCCAAACACAGATTATTTCTAAAACCAGAATTGCACCACTTGATTTGTTTTATATAGTTTCTTCCCCTAGGCCTACAAATCCCATTATATATTTCAAAAAATCATCTTACCCATTTAGATAAAAATAGCAAATTACTCAGTTAATGTTAAATTGGATTAATAAATCTGAACAGAATAATTTAAGTCATCTGATTGTCCGTGGCCAGCTGTTTTAAATTAGTATATTAATTCATTTAGACACTCTTCTTTGCAAAGGTTGCATGATTTAGTAAATTCCCTTATGCCTCAACATGTGCCAGCACTGCTAGGTTATCTTGTATCCAGCTGCTGTTGTGATGATGGCTGCCAACTTTCAAACAACTGCAGAGAATAATGAAGCAGCTTAGTCGGCTCAGATGTAAACTTACACTGCTCCCAGCTAAAACATGGCCATTTTCAACAGTAAAGAAAATTAATTAAAAGGATTTCACCTCCACTGTTTGAGAATCACGGCTCCACCAGTATCACAGAATTAGCAGCTTCAGGTAAACTCCCAGAGTTTGGATTTCAATCTTAAATGCTGTAAGTTGTCTTAAAAAATAGATTTTTTTTTTTTAAGAAAACAGATCAGGAAATGCCTTGCACACAACTTATAACCTAACGTTTGAGAAGCCTCACACTGCTGGAGACTTTTATTTAATAAAGGCATATTACAAAAAAGGCTTCAAAGACTTTAGGGGAAATAAAAGATGTAAAGGAAACAGGGCGCCATTTAGGAAGGATTTAAAACTCAACAGAAAAAGCCCCTCAACGAAACATAACCCTTGAAGTCAGGAGCACTTCATGAATGAGTGTCAGGCACAAATCAGCCAAGAGTGAAAGTATAGTACTGAATTTTAAGAAAGGCCGGAAAAGACAATTTTGTGCTGGATCAGTTATCCAGACCAGCGGGTGGGAAGAAGGCCCTGAATCTTTGCTGTTGACAGAATAAGCACTAATCTATTTGGCATAAAGCAGTACCAGTGTTTATAGGGGAAAGGAGGTCAAATATAAGAACTACTTAAAATATTTCATTTCTTCCTTTTTTTTTTTTGGAGTCTCACTCTGTTGACCAGGCTGGAGAGCAGTGGCACGATCTCAGCTCACTGTAAATTCTGCCTCCTGAGTTCAAGTGATTCTCCCACCTCAGCTTCCCGAAGAGCTGGGATTACAGGCTCACACCACCATGCCCAGCTAATTTTGTATGTATTTTTTCTTAGCAGAGATGAGGGTTCACCGTCTTGGCCAGGCTGTTCTTGAACTCCTAACCTCAGGTGATCTACCCACCTCAGTCTCCCAAAGTGCGGGATTACAGGTGTGAGCCACTGTGCCTTGCCTAAAATATTTCATTTATTTCTAAAAGACCATAGTAGTTGGAAATTACTTACTAGGTAGATGGACTTCCCTAAGAGGACTGGAAAACCCTTTTTCACTAAAGGGCAAAGATAATTATACCGTCCTCATGTGAGTAAGGCTGTACTATTCTTCATAAGTAATGGACTAGACAAAATACATAATTTTATGGTTCTGATGAACTTTCTAAAACTATGCAAGGATCACTTTTTAATTTAATTAATTAATTAATTAATCAATTTTTTTCAGACAGAGTCTTGAACTGTTGCCAAGGCTGGAGTGCAGTGGCATGATCTCAGCTCACTGCAGCTGCCTCCCTGGTTCAAGTGATTCTCCTGCCTCAGCCTCCAGAGTAGCTGGGATTACAGGCATGCGCCACCATGCTCAGCTAATTTGTTTTATTTTTAGTAGAGATGGGGTTTCACCATGTAGGCCAGGCTGGTATCGAACTCCTGACCTCGTGATTTGCCTGCCTCGGCCTCCCAAAGTGCTGGGATTACAGGAATGAGCCACCGTGCCCAGCCTATTTTATTTTTCCAGATAAGGTCTCACTCTGTCAGCCAGACTGGAGTGTAGTGGCATAATCTTGGCTCACTACAATCTCTACCTCCCAGGCTCAATCGATTCTCCCACCTCAGCCCCCCAAGTCGTTGGGACCACAGATGCAAACCAACATCCCTGGCTAATTTTTTTGTATTTTGGTAAAGATGGGGTTTTGCCATGTTGCCCAGGCTGGTCTTGAACTCCTGAGCTCAGGAGATCCACCCGCTTCAGTCTCCCAATGTACTGGGATTACAGGCATGAGCCACCGCACTAGGCCTAGGATCACTTTATTAGCAGTGATAATCTGATTTCTTTTTCTTAAAAAATAGGTTACCTGAAGTTTTCTCAGCCATCTGCTATACATACACAGGTATACCATACTGGCTGCCCACTACAGTTTCCTGATATATCTAACTTACAATTTAAATGTGAAATTATATGCCAGGGTTGCCTCTGCCCTTACTGCAGATACACAATACAGAGTTAATTTGAAAACCTCTCCAAGCTGCTAACTGACTAGACTCACACTCTGCAATCCAAGTGATTCATGGCACTTGAAACTGAAATTATGGTTGGGTGGGTGTGGGATGGAGTGTCTTCTCAGCCATCTCCTGCATCTTCTCCAGGTATGCCTATTATTTTTATTGCCAGAAATACTAGAGATCCCTGGGAAACACAGTGGGTTCTAGGATCCTCCAGTTGGTTGAATACTTCTAGAAAACCTAAATGGATACCTCATGATAACTCAGAATCCAAAGAAAGGACTGACTCAAAGAAATCCAAGAGACTAATTCTAATCCCTGACATAATCATCTTTTTACCTCTGTACAGCTCATGGAGTCTGTTGGAACTGTTCAAGATGGAACGGATTTAACACATGTTCAGAACAACGTAACTTGCTGTGAAACTGTTGCCTGGTTTAGTAGCCACAGTGATTCCTCCAACAGCCGAGTCAGCCCTCAACCAAATCCAGATGAAAGGGACGTGCTGATTCCTTACCCCGTTTTAATCACCTCAATGCAACAAATTATCTGGAAAGTGTGCTAGTCTATTCAGCACACAGGATGCATGTCTACACTTGGGAAAATATCGTGTAACAAGTATGAAGTTTTTATTTGCTACTGCTGTAATAAGCAAACAAGGCAGAAATTTCACAGGTACAACAACTGACTTGAAATTTTGAAAATATGCCATTTACCAGTGCCAGCGTGCCCAAAAGAACTCTCTTATATGAGACAAATTTGCCTGTAATAACAGAATAAAGGCAAGAAAGGGCTATAGGCCAACAACAGACATTTAACATACAAATCTGTATTCTATAGCCTTACACGGTTCTGTGGAAAATTTGAAAGTATTAAAGAGGGTAGAGATCTGTTTTCCATTTTCCACTCTGAAGGCTGCAATAGTTAATAAATACACCTTCTATTCACTGATTTGAATATCTGGACAATTAGCTGTGATTGTTTGAATGTACACTATGTAGCTTTACTCCCGGTGGTTACGATCAAGAATGCTAGAGGTGAAAAACAGTTAGAAAGATATACAGAGCAAAGGTATGGAAGAATGAAAAAAAAAGAAAGAGGTTTTAAAACGATCGTATGCAGTTAGGATAAATGACTAACTAAAGGTGGAAAAATAATTGCTTACAATTTGTATAAAGCAATCATATCCATGCAGTACTCTGATACAGTACAAAGGTACATAATTATAAACAAGAAGATGGAAATAAAAAATTGTATCTTAATTAAGAAAAACAACAGAGGAAAAAGCCATGGAAAAAATTTATGGAAAGCAGGAAGACCCAGGCCACAAATATGCCAAGACAAATGACATATCCCCGAGGGGAGAACAGTGTCCTTGACTTGAGAAGGCTGTGTGTGACCCTGGCCAGCATAATCACAGAAGGCAGTTGATGTTTGGCGATGAGGAGCAGCGTTCTGAAGAACATAATTAAGGGCTGCAAGTATGTTCTGTGGAAACAAAATTATCGTTCATGTCTGACATTGTGTAAATATGCCTTAATTTTGGTCAATAGCAATTTGAACCTTAAAACTTAGAATCCTCAAACCTCCTTGTAAATCACAATTCTTTAAGCAAACTACAGGGATTTGTGTGTAAAAGCAGAAACATTCCAGATACTCTCTAAAAAATGCTGTTCAGTAGAAAATTATCTATTTTGTAGTGACATGATTTGGCCTCTCTCCATGTCAAAACCAGCTCATAACTTTAAAAAGCCACATTAAAGGAGATTTACACAGAGCAAAGCAAAAGCCGTTTCCATCCACCAGGTCAGGTATAAAAATAATCACAATTCACATTACCTTAAAAAGACTGGCAATCTTACACAAATTAATGGTGTGTTGTGTACAGATGGAAGGTGGATATAAACCGAGGAGAAAGAAAAAGCCACATCAAAGGTGCCAAGGAGACTTAAAGGCTTTGAAAGCTTCGAAAGTCTCGCCTTCTCTCTTATACCTTTAATTGTAAGGCTGTAATAAGGCATGTTTGCCACAAGCTCTTGAAAGAAAAAAGAAATGGTTATTTTCTTAAGTACTAACAGACTTACTTCTCTTTCAGAAAATCCACTACTCTTTTGAAGTCAGCCACACAGTATTCTCTTTTCATTTCCATGAGTACGCTGTCGGAGGCAGACTGGACTGGGACGTGCAGGAAAGCGTAGACTCTGGGGTGATTAAGGATTTTCGCCATTTCCTTAAAAAAAAAACGGAAGAAAACATTAATCGTTTTAACAAATCGTGGAATGGTTTTCCACACATCAACACAAGCACAAGCAAATAAATATACTAGTTGAAAACAGACCAATCACAAGGCTCTTAAAGTGAACATCAGTTGGCAATATTCTATGATGAGATTTGGGAATTCAAATCGCTTTTAGAGGATTCCACAGGAGAATTATTTTTTCATGCTTTCTGTTTCTCTGAGGTGACAAAAAATAGACAAAGTCATATATGCCCAGAGTAAGAAAGATTTTTCAGTACTCCAAAACAAACACCGTTCCTGTTTCATTTCGAAGAAGTTTTACATTTGCCTTGTTAAATTTGTGGGAAAAACAGTGATATTTAAGGCAAACACTTAAGATCCCATAATCCCCTATACTTGAATAGACAAAGTTTCCAAGTTTAGGTTAACACATTTTTTTATTGCATTTTAGGTTTTGGGGTACATGTGAAGAACATGCAAGATTGTTGCATAGGTACACACGTGGCAGTGTGATTTGCTGCCTTCCTCCCCATCACCTATATCTGGCATTTCTCCCCATGCTATCTCTCCCCAACTCCCCAACTCCTCACCCCCTACTGTCCCTCCCCTATTTCCCCCCTGCAGACCCCAGTGTGTGATGCTCCCCTCCTTGTGTCCACGTGTTCTCATTGTTCAACATCCACCTATGAGTGAGAATATGCAGTGTTTGATTTTCTGTTCTTGTGTCACTTTGCTGAGAATAATGGTTTCTAGGTTCATCCATGTCCCTACAAAGGACACGAACTCATCGTTTTTGATGGCTGCATACTATTCCATGGTGTATATGTGCCACATTTTCCCTGTCCAGTCTATCACCAATGGGCATTTGGGTTGGTTCCAGGTCTTTGCTATTGTAAACTGTGCTGCAATGAACATTTGTGTGTATGTTTCCTTATAGCAGAACGATTTATAATCCTTTGGATATATACCAAGTAATGGAATTGCTGGGTCAAATGGAATTTCTATTTCTAGGTCCTTAAGGAATCACCACATTGTCTTCCACAACGGCTGAACTAATTTACACTCCCACCAACAGTGAAAATGTGTTCCTATTTCTCCACATCCTCTCCAGCATCTGTTGTCTCCAGATTTTTTAATGATCGCCATTCTAACTGGCGTGAGATGGTATCTCAATGTAGTTTTGATTGGCATTTCTCTAATGACCAGTGATGATAAACATTTTTTCATATGTTTGTTGGCCTCATGTATGTCTTCTTTTGTAAAGTGTCTGTTCATTTCCTTCACCCACTTCTGAATGGGCTTCTTTGTTTGTTTCTTGTAAATCTGTTTTAGTTCTTTGTAGATTCTGGATATCAGCCCCTTGTCAGATGGGTAGACTGCGAAAATTTTTTCCCATTCTGTTGGTTGCCGATTCACTCTAATGACTGTTTCTTTTGCTGTGCAGAAGATGTGGAGTTTGATTAGGTCCTACTTATCTATTTTGGCTTTTGTTGACAATGCTTTTGGTGTTTTGGTCATGAAGTCCTTGCCTATGCCTATGTCCTGAATAGTTTTGCCTAGATTTTCTTCTAGGGTTTTTATTGTGTTACGTCTTATGTTTAAGTCTTTAACCCATCTGGAGTTAATTTTAGTGTAAGGCATCAGGAAGGGGTCCAGTCTTTCTGCTTTCTGCATATGGCTAGCCAGTTTTCCCAACACCATTTATTAAACAGGGACTCCTTTCCCCATTGCTTGTTTTTGTCAGTTTGTCAAAGATTGGATGGTTGTAGATATGTTGTGTTGCCTCTGATGCCTCTGTTCTATTCCATTGGTCTATATGTCTGTTTTGGTACCAGTACCATGCTGTTTTGATTACTGTAGCCTTGTAGTATAATTTGAAGTCCAGTAGTGTGATGCCTCCCACTTTGTTCTTTTTCCTTAGAATTGATTTGGCTATGTGGGCTCTCTTTTGATTCCATATGAAGTTTAAGGTGGTTTTTTCCAGTTCTGTGAAGAAGGTCATTGGTAGCCTGATGGGGATAGTGTTGATTCTGTAAATTACTTTGGGCAGTATGGCCATTTTCATGATATTGATTGTTCCTAACCTGATTGCTCTGGCTAGAATTTCCAGTACTATATTGAATAGGAGTGGTGAGAGAGGGCATCCTTGTCTAGGGCCAGATTTCAAAGGGAATGCTTCCAGTTTTTGCTCATTCAGTATGATACTGGCTGTTGGTTTGTCGTAAATAGCTTTTATTATTTTCAGATATGTTCTGTCAATACCTAGTTTACTGCGGGTTTTTAGCATAAAGGGCTATTGAATTTTGTCAAAGGCCTTCTCTGCATGTATTTTGATAATTGTGGTTTTTGTCTTTGGTTCTGTTTATGTGGTGAATTACATTTATAGACTTGCATATGTTGAACCAGCCTTGCATCCCTGGGATGAAGCCTACTTGATCATGGTGGATAAGCTTTCTGATGTGCTGTTGTAATCAGTTTGCCAGTATTTCTATGGGTAGTGCCTCTTTTAGGAGCTCTTGTAAAGCAGGCCTGATGGTGACAAAATCTCTGAGTACTTGCTTGTCTGTAAAGGACTTTATTTTTTCTTCACATATGAAGCTTAGTTTGGCTGGATATGAAATTCTGGGTTGAAAGTTCTTTTCTTTAAGGATATTGAATACTGGTCCCCACTCTCTTCCAGCTTGTAGGGTTTCTGCTGAGAGATCTGCTGTGAGTCTGATTGCCTTACCCTTGTGCGTAACCCGACCTTTCTCTCTGGCTGCCCTTAGCATTTTCTCCTTCATTTCAACCCTGGTGAATCTGATGATTATGTGCCTTGGGATTGCTCTTCTTGAGGAATATCTTTGTGGTGTTCTCTGTATTTCCTGGACTTGAATATTGGCCTGCCTTGCTAGGTTGGGGAAGTTTTCCTGAATAATATTCTGACGTGTATTTTCAAGCTTGGATTCATTATCTCTGTCACATTCAGGTACACCTATCGAACATAGATTAGGTCTTTTCACATCGTCCCATATTTCTTGGAGACTTTGTTCATTCCTATTTACCCTTTTATCTCTAATTTTGCCTTCTTGTTTTATTTCATTGAGTTGATCTTCCACCTCTGATATTCTTTCTTCTGCTTGGTCAATTCAGCTGCTGAAATTTGTGTATGCTTCGTATAGTTCTCGTGTTGTGTTTTTCAGCTCCATCAATTCACTTATATTCCTCTCTAAGTTGTTAATTCTCATTTGCATTTCATCAAATCGTTTTTCAATGTTCTTGATTTCTTTGCATTGGGTTAGAACATGTTCTTTTAGCTCACAGAAGTTTCTTATTACACACCTTCTGAAGCCTGATACTGTCAATCCATCACACTCATTCTCCATCCAGCCTTGTTCCCTTGCTGGTGAGGAGTTGTGATCCCTTGTAGGAGGAGAGGCATTCTGGTTTTAGGTGTTTTCATCCTTTTTGTGCTGGTTTCTTCCCATATTTGTACATTTATCCACCTGTTGTCTTTGTAGTTGTTGACTTTCAGATTGGGTCTCTGAGTGGATGTCCAGTTTGTTGATGATGAAGTTATTTCTTTCTGGTTCTTAGTTTTCCTTCTAATAGTCTGGCCCCTCTGCTGTAGGACTGCTGAGGTCCATTCCAGGCCCTGCTTGCCTGGGGATCACCTGCAGCGGCTGCAGAAGGGTTGCTGCCAGTTTCTTCTTCTGCTATCTTTGTCCCTGAAGGATACCTGCCTGATGTCAGTCTGAGCTCTCCTTTATGAGGTGGCTCTTTGGATATACGGGGTTCAGGGATTTGCTTGAGGAGACAGTCTGTCCTTTACAGAAGCTCAAGTGCTGAGCTGTGAGCTCCGCTGTTCACTCAGAGCTGCTGGGCAGGTACGTTTAAGTCTGCTGCAGCAGAACTCATAAGCCCCTCACCCTTTTTTTCCCAGGTGCTCTGTCCTGGGGAGTTAGTGCTTTATTTATGAGCTTCTTTTGTGCTGCTGCCTTTTTTCAGGGCTGCCCTGCCCAGCAAGGAGGCAGTATAGTCACTGTCTGCCTGCAGTGGCTTTGCTGAGCTGCTGTGTGCTCTGCCCAGCTGCCGTGTGAACTTCCCTGCAGTCCTGTTTATATGGGTGTAGTCAGAACTGCCTCAGCAATGGCAAACTACCTCCGTAGGGGTGGACTGCCTCGGTAATGGTGGTCGCCCCTCCCCCACAGAGCTGAACCATCTCGCGTTCAGCTGTGCTTGCTGTGAAACTCTCAATCCAGAGTGTTTCCAATTACTGTTTTTTGTGGGGGTGGGACCAGCCGAGCCTGATCACCTGGCTCCCTGCCTCAGAGCCTTTTTTGTTTTTTTAGTTAAATGGTTGACTCTGTCTCCCAAGTGTTCCAGTCGCCTGTTGAAAAGGTGCCAGGATCTGTGTGATTTCCTGTGCAGTGACCCACTGCACTGGCTGAAACAGCCATGCTGAGATTTGTGGTGCTTTTTTGTCTGGGAATCTCCTGGCCTGGCTCCCCGTTTAAGTCCCTTTTTAATCAGTTGAATGGGTGACTCTGTCTCCCAGGAGCTCCAATCACCAGATAAAATGGCGCCCCGACCTGTGTATTTTGTACGGAGAACAAAATCAGCCACGCCAGCCAAACAGCTGTGGGGGCCAAACCAGCTGCGCCGGCCAAAACATCCTTACTGGCGACCAGTGGGACTCCTCCGCCTGGGAATCTCCTGGTCTGTGGGCAATAAAAATCCATCTGGAAATGTGGCGTCCACTCAACCTCCGTGCTTTTGCTGGGAGCTGCAATCCTGAGCTACTCCTAATTGGCCATCTTGGATCCCTCTCTATCAACACATTTTTTAAAATACAAATATGCCAAGACCAATGAGATAATTGTTTTAAAAAATAAGGAAAGGAACTCAACAACTCATCTGTTTCTCTTTTTTTAAAAATTTCACTCACATATTTTTTGAGTATCTATTATGCAAAAGGCATGACCAGACAGTGAGGCCAGCCACTTCGCCAG